TATTTACTACTTGTACTAATATCCCTACTTCGCATTTTTTCACTTATCGCGGGTCTTCTGGGTACGGATCCCCTGCGATAAACAAGGGACTACTGTACCTCCTACATATAAGGTATACTTCAGTTCCACATCAACTCCAGTCCAGAAAAACACTCATCTTGAAAACTACAAACATTCACTGTTCAATTCATTTTGCAATGAATGGCATCCGGTACTGCTTGCTATCATTGTATGTCTCATCTGAGTGTCATGTGGCCAGGTAACCGACTGAAAACTCCTTATTTTCTGGGTAAGGTTTATGTTTTAGCTGCCAGCTGTTTAGTCCTGAGGCTGTGGAAACATCTGATGCGAGTTGTTTGTGTGCAGTGAAACCTGTGGTGCCGCGGTGCAGCATCCCAGAGAGCGTCACCGTCGGAACGTCAACTGAGCTGAGGTGTTTGGAGAACGAGGGCTTCCCCACTCCTCAGTACCGCTGGTTTCACAACAGTGAAGAACTTCCTCAGGATCCCAAAAACAGCCAGAAATATGCCAACTTCTCCTACACCATCAACCCCGACACTGGAAGCCTGGTAACAAGAAAGACACAAACCTGCCCCGTTTATGACTTCTACCTGTGGAAACTATCTCTAAAATAATCCTTCCACATCCACAGCAAGCTTTTATTTAACATTTTTGGGTGGGATTTTCAGTTGCATGTTGCATAACATAAAAAGCTTAATCTAAATAAACCCTTACCCATCGAGTGACTAATTGCAGTATAAATCTCTCTGTGCCATCAGTGAGCAGGCTTAACCAAACTGGTAAATAAACACAGGATAATGATGCATTCAGAGTGTATTTGTGGTTGACTTAGAAAAAAAATAGTACTGCAACATAAAAACCTGCAATCTGGCAATGTCAAATATCTGTCAATTATATTCTTAAACATATTTTCCACTCCATATGGAGGTTTGTTATAACACAGTCAGTGATCAGAGTGTAATAAATGTACTTCTTTGCCAGAACACTGATTATTTTCTAACGGTTTCCTCAGAAATTTCGACGGGTGAGGAAAGACGACGCAGGCGAGTACTACTGCCAGGCGAAGAACGATGCAGGACATGCACAGTGCCAACCGCAAATGATGGAAGTTTGTAAGTGCTGTTCACAATATGTCCAGCTGTGTGGCCATGAACTGAGAGCAGAAGATGGTTGAGAGGAAAGGGAGACAAATGTCTTGGTAGATGTGAAAGTGTTTATGAAGCATTCACTCTATTGAGATCCATTTGTCTTCTGTACGTTTTTCAGCGTCTTTCTCGTCCTGCAGTTTTCAACCTATTTCAACAAATCGTATTTCAAACGTTCAGCTGTTTCAAGATAATCCTGCTATGACTTTTGGTATTGTTGCAACTTTGGCGTTTTGAAATATTTAGCCTTTTCTGCCTCTTTTTCCTCATAGAAAATGAACTGAGCTCATTTTACATCCTTCAAATCTTTAGATCTGTTTGCAACCTTTTACTGTTCCTTTCACATTTTGTTCTGGTTCAGCTTCTTTCAGCTTTATTGTGCAAATTAAAACTTTTTCAGCTATTTCAGGTAAATTTCTGCTGTTTTTTGTGTTGCTTTCAGATTCTTTCTGCTAACTAAAACATTTTTGTGCTTCTTCTAACTTTGTTCTGCTAATTTCAGTTTGTTATGCTCCTTTCAGCTCATTTCGTCAAGTTTCAGCTTTTTCTGCTATTTCAGCTACTATTTAATAGTTTTTATGCTAATTTAAGATTTTTCAGCTTATTCCACATATTTTGTACTCATTTAATTTTTGTTTCAGCCTATCCATCCATCCATTTTCTTCCGCTTATCTGGGGTCGGGTCGCGGGGGTAGCAGCTTAAGTAGGGAGGCCCAGACCTCCCTCTCCCCAGCCACTTGGGCCAGCTCCTCCGAGGGGATCCCAAGGCGTTCCCAGGCCAGCTGAGAAACATAGTCCCACCAGTGTGTCCTGGGTCTTCCTCTGGGCCTCCTCCCGGTGGGACGTGCCCAGAACATCTCGCCAGGGAGGCGTCCAGGAGGCTTCTTAACCAGATGCCCGAGCCACCTCAACTGGCTCCTCTCGATGTGGAGAAGCAGCGGCTCTACTCTGAGTCCCTCCTGGATGACCGAGCTTCTCACCCGATCTCTAAGGGAGGGCCCAGACACCCTGCGGAGAAAACTCATTTTGGCCGCTTGTATCCGAGATCTCGTTCTTTCGGTCACAACCCAAAGCTCGTGACCAAAGATGAGGGTAGGAACATAGATCGACCGGTAAATTGAGAGCTTTGCCTTTCAACGCGGCTCTCTCTTCACCACAACAGACCTGTACAGCGCCCGCTTCACTGCAGACGCCGCACTTATCCGCCTATCGATCTCACGCTCCATTTTTCTCTCATTCGTGAACAAGACCCCGAGATACTCTAACTCCTCCACTTGGGGCAGGACATCCTCCCTGACCCGGAGAGGGCACTCTACTCTTTTCCGGCTCAAGACCATTGCCTCAGATTTGGAGGAACTGATCCTCATCCCGGCCGCGTCGCACTCGGCTGCGAACCGCTCCAGCAAAAGCTGTAGATCACGACTTGATGAAGCCAATAGGACCACATCATCTGCAAAAAGCAGAGACGCAATCCTAAGGCCACCAAAACGGATCTCCTCAACACCTTGGCTGCGCCTAAAAATTCTGTCCATATAAGTTATGAACAAAATCGGCGACAAAGGACAACCATGGCGGAGTCCAACTCACATTGGGAACGAGCCCGACTTACTGCCAGCAATGTGGACCAGGCTCTGACACCAGTCGTACAGGGACCTAACAGCCTGTATCAAAGGGCCTGGTACCCCATACTCCCAGAGTACCCCCCACAGGGCTCCCTGAGGGACGCGGTCGAATGCCTTCTCCAAGTCCACATAGCACATGTAAACTGGTTGGGCAATCTCTCACGCACCCTCCAGAACCCTTCTGAGGGTGTAGAGCTGATCCAGTGTTCCACGACCAGGACAAAAACCACACTACTCCTCCTGAGTCCGAGGTTCGACTCTCCGACAAACCCTCCTCACCAGAACCCCTGAATAGACCTTACCAAGGAGGCTTAAGAGCGTGATCCCCCTGTAGTTGGAAGACACTCTACGGTCCCCCTTTTTGAATAGGGGGACTACCACCCCAGTCTGTCAGTCCAGGGGAACTGCCCCCGATGTCCATGTAATATTGCAGAGTCGTGTAAGCCAACACAACCCTAAAGCATCCAGAGCCTTAAGGAACTCCAGGCAAATCTCATCCACCCCTGGGGCCTTGCCACCGAAGAGCTTTTTAATCACCTCGGTGACCTCAACACCAGAGATTGGAGAGCCCAACCCAAAGTCCCCAGGCTCGGCTTCCTCAGTGGAAGACGTGCCGGTGGGATTGAGGAGGTCTTCATAGTATTCTGCCCCACGACATCCCGAGTTGAGGTCAGCAGCATACCACCTCCACTATAAATAGTGTTGGTGGCATACCGCTTTCCCCCCTTGAGACACCGGATGGTGGACCAGAATCGCCTCGAAGCCGTACGGAAGTCATTCTCCATGGCCTCTCCGAACTCCTCCCATGCCCGAGTTTTTGCCTCAGTGACCACCCAAGCCGCATGCCGCTTGGACTGCCATACCCATCAGCTGCTTCCGGGGTCCCACAGGCCAAAAAGGCCCGATAGGACTCCTTCTTCAGCCTGACAACATCCCTCACTGCCGGTGTCCATCACCAGGTTCGAGGGTTACCACCGCGACAGGCACGACAACCTTGCGGCCACAGCTCTGATAAGCCGCCTCGACATGGCCCACTCGGACTCAATGTGCCCCGCCTCCCCTGGAACATGTTCGGAGCTCTCCCTGAGGTGGGAGTTAAAGCTCCTTCTCACAGGAGACTCTGCCAGACGTTCCCAGCAGACCCTCACAATACGTTTGGGTCTGCCAGGTCTGACCGGCATCCTCCCCCACCATCGAAGCCGACTCGCCACCAGGTAGTGGTCAGTGGACAGCTCTGCCCCTCTCTTCACCCGAGTGTCCAAGACATGCAGCCACAGATCAGATGAGACAACAACAAAGTCTATCATCGAACTGCAGCCTAGGGTATCCTGGTACCAAGAGCACATACGGACACCCTTATGCCTGAACATGGTGTTCATTATGGACAATCCATGACGAGCTCAGAAGTCTAACAACAGAACACCACTCGGGTTCAGATCAGGGGGGCCATTCCTCCCAATCACACCCCTCCAGGTCTCACTGTCATTGCCCACGTGAGCGTTGAAGTCCCCCAGTAGAACAAGGGAGCCCCCAGGAGGTGAACTCTCCAGTACCCCCTCCAAGGACTCCAAAAAGGGTGGATAATCTGAGCTGCTGTTTGGCGCATAAGCACAAACAACAGTCAGAACCCGTCCCCCCACACGTAGGTGGAGGGAGGCTACCCTCTCGTTCACTGGGGTGAACCCCAATGCCCACTCCTGCTCAGCGCCTCTCGCCAGAGGCAACTCCAGAGTGGAAGAGTGTCCATTCCCTCTCAAGGAAACTGGTTCCAGAGCCAGAGTCATGCGCTGAGGTGAGTCCGACTATTTCTAGCCGGAGCCTCTCAACCTCACTTTCTTTTTCAGCCTAATTAAGCAAAATTGTGCTCTGTCCACCTCCTTCTGGTAATTCTTCTTTCTGCTTTTTTAGCTGCTTTTCAGCTGTTTTTATGCTAATTTAAGATTTTTCAGCTTATTCCACATGTTTTGTACTCATTTAATTTTTTTTCAGCCTAATTAAGCACAAATGTGCTCTGTCCACCTCCTTCTGGTAATTTAAGCTTCTTTCTGCCTTTTTAGCTGCTTTTCAGCATTTCTGCATCTTTCAACCTAATTTGGCAAACATGTTCGTTCAGCTTTCTTCTGCTAATTTAAGCTTGTTCTACCTTTTCAGCTACCTTTTTAGTTAGCTGTTTTCAGATAAATTCAAGTTTTTCGTGGTAACTTTTGCTCCTTTCAATCTAATTAACTTCTTTCTGTTCTTTCTGTGTAGTTTAAGCTTCTTTCTGCATTTTCACCTACTGTTCAGCTGTTTTTAGCTAATTTCAGCCTTTTTTTTTAGCTAATTTCCTAATGTTCATGCTAATTTCTGCTAATTTAAACCAAATTCATCAAATATGTGTTCTTTTTTCTTTCTTATGCTAAATTTGGTTCATTCTTCTAGCTCAGCTACATCTCAGAAGTTTTTTTTTTTTTAGCTAATTTCAGATGTTTTTCAGCAAGTTCTTCTGCAAATGCAATTTCTCTAGTTTTTATTATTATTGCAACCTTTAAGATATCGTAAAATCATCTGCAGTACACCTTTTTAATTTTGTTTTTCTTCTGGCTCACATAACAGATCTTTATCAAATACCGACTGGTTCCATGAGGACTTGAAGCTGTTTTCTGTGTCCCGCCGCAGGTGATGTTGACATACTTGGATATTTCCTCAAGACCTTCGGTGGAGTGACCGTGTTATTCTGTTTATTTGCTTCGGTTTATTCCATCAGACGACTGCACTTTCACCAGAAAAGCCACAGTGGAAACAAGTGAGTGGAGTCTGCGTCTCTGAAGGACACGAGGAGTGTCACAAAACTTGTAATTGTGCACCACAGCGTTCCGTTTCATCCCTATTTTATGTTTCAGCTACAACTGGTCACCACGGAATGGTGCTGTTGACTATGGCGACGCAGATGAGGTACATTTACTGAGCATCTTAATTAGCGCTTGTATTGCCCTTTAACTATATGATCATTCATGTTCCTTAGGGGAACATCAACCGCCTTATTTAACTGCTTAAAAATACTATTTTTGAATATTTTTTCCCACAAAAAGTCAGTTCTAGTTGTCAGTATTTTAGCTCTATCACAGCCTGAAATGAGAAATATCACATTTAAATTATTTTTCTTGAATTTTAACTCTTTAAGGGTTTCTGTTAAAAAAAAAAAAAAAACTCTACATTTCAGCTTTAAAGAAATTGACTAAATTATTTTAAGGCAATTTTTGGAGGGAAAAAGGGCATTTTCCTCTCATTGCTAAAAATACTTTTTGAGAATTAAAAAAAATAATCCAGTTTAGATCTGTCAAACTCAAGAGCTGCAGGTCAAATCTGGTCCCCCGATATGATAATTTAAATGTAAAATATTGTATCTCTTCGTTCGGTAGGAGCCCTGCTTGTATAACGGTAGGGGAAACACTGCTAACTTTTGTGCTTGTGTGTTTTTCTCAGGGTCATTTTCGCCACAAGTCGTCCTTCGTCATATGACAGCTGAGAACCCAAACAAGGCAAACATCAACATTTCTGAGGTTAACTTGCAACAACAATCCTCGTGTTAATAAAGTTTATGGTGAAACATGGCACATTTCTCTCTGACGCACAGAAAAACCTGTTCAACTGACTTGCCAAAGTATCAAATAAATTTGTGGCACCAAATATTTGTTTATGCCGCGGATCCGTTTTATTTTTCTCCTCTTTGTACAGATTTGTTAAAACAAGGTTTTTTTAACTCTTTTATTCATTTTTTTTTTTACTCATTGTCCGACAAAATTGTATCTTACAATGGAGGCATTTCAAAGCTGTGAAGTTTGATGTTTGGCCACTCCGTGGTATCACAAGTTACTGTACGCTGCATCCCTCACCTGTTTTTCGAACAAATCCTTTTTTAGTACATTTTTTACAGAGCAGAGTTGTTTTAAAGAAGCCGTTTACATTCTTTGAGATGAGACCTGTCTCGTATGCTGAAGTGGAGTTTGTATAAACTGTAGATATGAGAGCATTTAGAAGCAGACTGATCACATCAAACAAAAGGCACATTTTAATATACAGTAGTCTACAAATACGTCTAAGTGCAGATTAAATTGTAAATTTGATTACCATATACTATGCTGCAAAGTCAATAAGTATTTATATGTAAGTTTGACTTATCGGCGTGCCGTTTCTGTGTATAAGTGACCTTTAGTGCTTAATTCGTAGTTATTTTGTCAGTATTGGACATATTGTCCAGTTTGGGTTCAGTATCTGTACATAGAGTTACATTCTTTTTGGATCTGTTTTGACTGCACTCCATAAGTTATTGTAAAATAGTGGAGGAACCAGTTTGTTGGAAATTATTTTGACTGTGTTCACTGTTAAGTGTGTTTTTTTTTCAGTGTTGGGTCCGTCTGTATTACAACTGTGTCATTTCAGACGTGTGTGAACGTCCTGTGTGACAACTTATGAAGCGATGTAAAACCTTTGCTTTTTATTTAGCGTTGATGCTGTGCGTTATTATTTTGTTACTATAAAATACATTTCAAGTGCTGATGTTTCAGGAGTTTTTTTTTTTTTTTATGGTATCGGTAAAGTTTGGAAGATAATTAAAACTGGGGGAAAATATTGTGAAGATAATTTATGATACAAAACATTAAGTTTGTATTGCACCCATTAAAAATGCACCAATTATTCTCTGCCATTACCAAATCGCCTTTTCTGCTATTGACTCTTGTTTTATGGTTCTGGTGGTAATCCCATATCTCCACAGTCTGGGACTGAACTCTTATCATATAAAATGATGGCCGTCACCCCCAAAAAGCGAGATTTATCAGAAGTACCTCTAGATTTTAACCGAGGGGACGGAATGGCCTGCGTGCAGTCCTGAATTCAAACCCATTGAGCACCTGTGGGATCACCTTGAGCGTATCGTTTGTTCCAGAGTCACACATGGCTGACTTATGACAAATCCTGGTTGAGGAATGGGATGCCGTCCCACCGCAGTGTGTGACCAAGCTGCTGAAGAAGAGGAGGATGTGGCCCCAGGCTGTTGTGGCTGTGTATGGTTCATCCACATGCTATGAGGTTCCTGTTTGTTGATGAATAAATTGTCTTCTTCCTTCAGACTTCAATAAACAAGACCAATCGGGAGTCAATAACAGAGTAAGCTGTTTGACTTTGGCAGAGAATTGTGACGTTTTTCATGACCCTAACCCTCTAACTCACTGCTGCTCAAGCCACAAATGTGTTTTTCTAACAACCACTAGGGAAATAATTCCAGTGTTATAAGGTTCATTGTCAAGCAGCATTTTTACAACAACAAAAAAAAACAACCAAACTTTAACTTCCTAACTTTATGCTAAATTTATATACACAAATACAGGTAAAACTAGTGGTACTGACTGGACACCAGGTTCAGATGGACCTTTTTACAGTTAATCTTGGGCATGCTCCGTGTCAGTATTTTGTGATGCATTGGGGTCTAGATATAATTATGCCTACGTCCAGTTTGTTAAACTACACTTAGTCTAAACAGTGTTGATATCGACTTGTTTCATTGACACCCAGCAACATTGCACATTAAGGACATATCACTAGCACAGCATAAAATACCAATACTTCTAATTTACAAGTACCATTGTAGATGAACGTTAACAGAAGAGCAGGTGTAAAGAACCTAAAGACTTGAGTTGAATGACGACTTAATGTCAGAAGTAGCTATGAACGTATACTGTAGGTGATGTAGTCCCTAATTTAACACGTTCATTTTAGTAATTGTTCTAAGGCCAATAATAAAAATATGCCAATACTTTGGACCAATACTTTTATGCTTGGTGATATAATTTCCTCTCTAACTGTGCAAGTAGGCAAATAAGGAAAAATGTCCATGTTCTTAATAAAAGAACTGTGTCTCTAAAGTTATTGGGTAATCTAACAAAATTAAGTCAGGTCCTCTGGACGGTTTCTTTTTGTTAAAACATTTCGTCTTTAAGACTTCATCAGTCCGGGGAGCTGCAACCAACCCAGTCTTATAAATAGCACCTTCTCATAGTGAGTCAACCAGTTTGATGGTGCTCCGGTGGTTTCTGAAGTTCACCCTCTCCCCCGACGACTTTTTTGAGGCAGTCATGGCCAAAGTGGTTCGAAATATCCTGATTCATGCTCAATAATCCAGGTAGAAAAATCTAACAAAGGTCCTCTGGACTACAGAAACCACCAGAGCACCATAACTGGTCGACCCACTACGCGAAGGTGCTATTTACAAGACTGAGTTTGTTGTGGCTCCTCGGACTGATGAAGTCTTTTGGATGAAAGACAAAACGTTTCAACAAAAGGAAACCGTGCAGAGGACCTGACTTTGTTAGATTTTTCTACCTGGATTATTGAGCATTGGGTAATGTTTACTAACCCATTTACTAGATGATATTGGTACTCGGCAAGTACTTCAACTGAAGTATTTGTACTTGGTCTGAGAAAAACTAGCATCAGGACAACTCTTGGTATATTCATCCATCCATTATCTTTACCCACTTCTTCTTTTTTGGGTTGCGGGGGTGGTGCTCATGTCCAGCCATCACTGTGCAAGATGGTACACCCTAGATAGGACTTAGGTCCATAACTCTAGATATATTTATTTTGAAAATAAAGAAGTATTTTTTGTGTGTGTTTCTCTACAATTCATATTCCCTGTTTTTGAAAGGGTGTGCCGGTGATCGGAAGGTTGCCGGTTCGACCACCCGGATCGACAACATCAAAATGTGGGTGGAAAAGGTGAAGCAACCACACCTGTCTCCACCCACATTTGCCCCACTCTGGGCCCTTGAGCAAGGTCCTTAACCCCCACCCCCAGGTACCCTAGATGGCAGCTCTCTGCTCCACAAAGATGGCTGTGGTAGCTCGTGGTTGTTGGAGAATTGTTATTTTTGTAAATCTTTGTTGGCATCAACAGAACATGTGTTTTATGAATGTGAGATTATAAGTGGTTTTTGGAAGGAGTTACATAACTGGTTGATATCTAAGTCTCTTCAAATTGTTTTTTTTTTTTAACTTGGAAATAAATCAAATTTGGAATTTTAATAAAGAATAAAATAAATAATGTTTGATCAATAATATTGTATTGTTTGCCAAATTCTACATTCATAAATACCGTTTCACAAAAGCTCTTCCAATTGTAAAAGTGTTTAAAATGAGTTTTTATTATTTGGTAAATCTTTTTAAAAAATTAATACAGCCCCTGCTATCAAAACTTTCTCTATCTTATCAGAGTTTAAGTTTTTATAAACCTCAGGTTTTAGTTTAATTTTTGCTTGTTAAATCTTAAGGTAATGTTGTTTCCTTAAGTTTTCTTGTTTTTTTTTCTGTCTCTTGTTTTATTGTCTATATTCTGATGTTTATAATAACGGATAAACATTTTGTTATTGAAAGGGATGTTTAGTTATAATGCAAAGTATGTTAGCTGAAATAGATTTGTTAAATGCGAAATTGTGATTGCCTTTTTTGTTGTTGTATGTTTTTGTTGTTATTGTTAAATAAATAAATTAAATAAATAAACAAATAAGCTCATGGTTGTCAGGAAGGGCATCCGGTGTAAAAACAAATTGACCAATCTTCGTCTGAGACTGTAGCAAACCCTGAAGAAGAGAGCAGCCGAAAGAAGAAGAAAAGAAAAAAATAACTTGGCTCTCAAAAATTTATGAATGGGTCGAATAATCTATTAAAAATGATCAAACACCATTAACACCATTATCAAAATGGTGGAGGCAGGTGTGGGTGTTTCACCTTTTCCACCCTCATTTGTTGCACACTGGGCCCGTGAGCAAGGCCCTTAACCCCCACCATCTGCTCCCTAAACAGGTCTCTCTTGAAAATGAGTTCTCGTGACTCAATGAGACTTCCTGTATAAACAGAGTAAATGTAAAAATTAATAATCTGCTTCTGTAGCCTTGAAAAAGGGAAATTCTCTACTGGCTCCTCTAATACGTCACTTCCGGTTTTATTTTGAAAACTTCCACCCGGATGTAGTTACGCAATTACAAGTAGCACAAGCTAATGTTACGTTTTGGCCGTTTGAGAATCATTGCTGTCTCTCTCCGTCGGTGTTTAAAAATGTAAGATAAATCAACCTTGAGACAGTCGCGCTTTCCGTCACTTATTGTCACAGAAACTTCAATGTAAGTTCAAAAGAGAAGAAAAAAAAGGGGAAACGGCTAATTTTGCTAACAGACATTTTCATGCGCGTTTTCGTTTTACCATCGCCGTGCTCGCTTTGTCGTTGAATGGACATGTAGCTAAAGTATTTTTGTTTCTCATTATTTTTTGTTAAATATAACGACTTTTCCAGACTAATACCTGCTCACTGACAGAGCAGAGCACTCGCAGCCTGTAGGCCTTCGTCTGTTTATTTTTTTTCGTTTGAAACAGGCTCTTCAGTTTGCGAACAGACAAGAGGACCCCACGATAAGATTAACGATAAGAGTTTTCTTTCTTCTTTTTTTTAAACTGTAGCGTTATAATGAGTTTCTTTAGTTTTGGTCAAAGTGCAGAAATTGATGTAGTCCTCAGTGACGCTGAAACGAGGAAGAAGGCTGAACACAAGAGCGAAGATGGAAAGAAAGACAAATACTTTCTTTTCTACGACGGCGAGACGGTCAGTGGGAAGGTGAATGTCACTCTGAAGAACCCAGGCAAGAGGCTGGAGCACCACGGCATCAAAATAGAGTTTGTCGGCCAAATAGGTGGGTTCAAACATCATCTACAGACGCCATTCATGTATACCACTCTCAGTGGTTGAACAGAGAAACTTTCAACTTTGACAATAATCCGTTTCAGGCATGAGAAGTTCCTGCTGGAAGCTTGTCTGTCAAAACACCCACAGAGTCATAATACTGTGTGGCACAAAAGACGACCAAGACCTTGACATTTTCTGTAATTTGTCTCTGAAATGTTATGTCTACTCTCAGGCGGAGTTGAAACCGTTTACCACATTTTAAATTTTAAACAAATGGTATCAAACCTGAATTAACGGGACACTTTCCAGTAGCCACGTGTTCAAACAGTCGGTAAAGACAAATTTAATAGCGCTTCTTGACATTGACGGTGATCATAACTTTAAATATGTGACCCATCACATTGAGCTGATGATCCATTGTCTTCCATTTGCGCTGGAGTCAAATCACAGGGGCATTAAGCAAGGAGGCCCAGACATCTCTTCCAGCTCTTCTGGGAGGACTCCAAGGCATTCCCAGGCCAACCGAGAGACGTTCTGGTAGTCTCTCCAGCATGTCTTCCCCGGGGTCTCCACCCAGTTGAACATCCCCGAAGCACCTCCCTAGGGAGGTGCCCCAGGCAGCATACTTACCAGATGCTGGAACCACCTCAACTGGCTCCTCTTGAACTGAGGGTTAGGTTGCATAATGGTTGTAGAGGTATAGGCAACAATAGTGGACTGGTAGAAAAATGTACAATATTTACATTTTGTAATGAATGAATATAATATATCTTTGGGTGCCTTGAATGAAATGTCCAAGATATAATCCTAATAAATGTTTTGAAGCTCTTTTCTGAGCATTGCCCACAAATAATGATAATTTAGAGCAGAAAAGCCTTAAAATGTTTCTAAATGCTTTCCACTATTGCAAAAAATTAAAGACTTTCCAGTTTGGAAATCTCAATATCCAAATTTGGGTAGAGTTTTTTTTTTTTTTTTTTCCAAGTGTCAATAAATATAAAATAAGGAAAAATAGGATTCAGACCTATTCTCATGGGGTTATCCTTTTTAGCAAAACAAATCGATCTATATCTTGGGAACTGCTCACGATGTCAGTATGATCTTGGTATGAGATTACTCTTAAAAACTCAAGGATCTAAAAATGTTCTTCATTAATTTTTACTTAATCCGTTTAATCTGTGGTTCAGTGTGATGGTCACAGATCATACGTTAGTGAGGAAGTACAGATTTCCAGGCAGCTTAGAATATGAATCCAACCAAAAAATGTCAACTATAAACGATAATGTGAACAATGTTATTATTTATGTTACTTCATTTCCCTCTGGGATAAATAAAGAATTTTTGAATTGAATTGTTAATAAAAGATAAGTTTTGCACATCATTTTTAGACCAGAATTAGGTCTAAAAAAAAAGCTACAAGTCTAAACAATTCTTTATTAGTGCTCGACTTTAAGTTTTTAACTTTTCCTTTATCGTTATTAGGAAAATAAGTTTTACTTTTATAAAGTACAATTTTCACATCATGAATGGCTTTGGATCTTAACAAAATAATAAAAAAAGCTGCTCAATTTAAATGAAAAAAAAGTATTTGTTTTTATTTAAGCTTTAACTACATGTTAAAACACGGTACTATAAATACTTCAAGCTTCAGTCAAATTAATTTTACTGCAACAAACTAAATAAATAAAGCCCATTTTACTTCATACAACAGCTCTTTTCAGGAGACAGTATTTCGAGACTTTTTGTAGTTTTCACTTTTTGTTGGAGTTGCTTTAATGCGTTTGTTGTTCCAGGTGTCCTGTTTTTTGATTTCCTGTCTCAGTCAGTCTCAACCATTGCTTATTAAATGTTTGAACATTAAACTGAACTGCAGGAATATTAAACACCGTGTTAAGGTTTTGGCAGTTTTTAAAATTTTTATTAAATGTAAAACTGAAGCCATTTTTAAAGAAAGACCAGCAGTGCAGTCATTAATTCCCACCACTTCTCTGTATTTTTACTCCTTTTAAAGTTCCCACGTTGGAAGCATTTATTTAGTTTTGTGGTATGTGGCCTTGACAAGCGTTAGTTTTATATCCCTTTGAGGACAAGCACCACAAATTAGCTTCAGCCTACTGAACAAAATTACAGTTAAAGTACTGTACAGTGTGCATTAATGCTAAGTACTTATTAAACAAACGTGGTTGTGGAGACAATGGTAGCTGAGAGAAAGTGGTATTCCCAACAGCAAGATACCACACCAGCTTTATTTGTACAGCACTTTAAACACCCACAGGACCAAAGTGCTGTACACATAATAAAACAATCATAAGATCAACACGCATTGAGAAAAAATATTTTTCAGTTGAGTTAGAGAGGTTTGGTAGTAAAACAAATAAAGTTCACAGCTCAGCAGAGTTCTGTAGGATTGTGACACATTTGTGTTACTTCAGCTGAGGCACGTTTCCTTCTTTAAAATGTAGCTTTCAGCTGCTTCTCTGAAACACATTTATTACTGAACGACGCCTCAAGGGTCTTCTTTTTATTCCTCCCCCAAAAACATCTTCCACTTTAGGTTATCGGATGTTTTTGTTGCTGCATTAAAGTTCATTTTTATGTCGCGTTAAAATTTATATACACGTATATATTTATTTATTTATTTTCCAAGTGATTATTTTTGACCTGGTGTTTAAATCGAGCTACAAACAGGAGTCGGGTTTAATTTGTGATTTTTAAATGTAAATAAACTTATTCTTTAAGCAGATTTTTATTTTTAAGCAGTTCAAATATTTTAAAACAAATCCCATTACAGAAAAATAAACTTCCCCTTAATAAATGTGTGTAATGATAAACATACTGGAGTCACAGTCTACACATTTCAAGATAAGTATATTTATATTTTGGACTTTTCAGATTACTTTTGTAAATGATTTACACATAAAAATATGAAGTTAATGATCCAGTTGTTAAACTGGAAAAACTAACTTGTATTAAGTCTCTGTTGTGACACGTTGAGCCTTTATAATGTGGAGAAAGTGTCATGAATCTTGACTTTTTATCTTTCTGATACAAAAATCACATTTATTAGTAAAATACACTTTGTCTTACAAACTTCTTTTTAACGAGAGTTCTCAACTACTCTGGAAATCAAGGAAAACCTGGAAAATGACTTTCACATTTTCCAGACAGGGAAATCTCAGGGAGCTGATCACTGATCTGCTGAACATACGATGATCTTTCAGAGATTTGGACGTGTATTAATGCTAGTGCTATCATTGAGTCCGTGTTCTGCTTCTACAGTGTTCATATAGTACATGTGTCCTTACTGACTGACTGTGGTGACTTTTTAGAATCTGATGTTAAACAATATAATAAATTAATTGTAAGGATTGCTGTGTGCACGTATCGTAGGCTGCAGTCTACGTCCTGTCATCTCTGACTGTGGCTCAGCTCGTCACCTAACACGCTATCGTCTGAGCGTTTTGTGTGACTGAAATATCTCCTGGAATTTCAGGATTTATTCAGGGAATATTCAGGGAATTTTGTTGACATGAAATGCTGGGAACCCTGATTAATGGATGCATTTTAGGCTAAATCTCCACCCTTCATTAAACGTTTTAACAGTTTTCTCTTCTTCCCAACTGTGTCCCAGAGCTGTATTATGACCGAGGAAACCACCATGAATTTGTTTCTCTGGTGAAGGACCTTGCGAGACCTGGTGAAATAACCCAATCCCAGACCTACGACTTCGAGTTCACCCATGTTGAGAAACCCTACGAGTCCTACACGGGCCAGAACGTCAAGCTAAGGCAAGTTTGATCATTTACTCTACAGCCTCTGAGTGTGTGTGTGTCACTCTTTAACCTGCTTGTCATGTGGCTGAATCTAAGCTGAACATTTGAACCCTGCTTTTGTTTTACTCGCACGCTGTAAATGAGATTCATCTTGTCAAATCAGGAATTATGGCGTTTTTGGTCATTTTCAGGTTCCTGGTTGTTTTAAGCTACATTGTGATGCCTCAATCAGCCTGATATGATCAGTTCCACAAATATGGATTTATTGGTCTTGACCAAAACATGATTTACATGTTTAAAAGTTGATTATCTTCAAAGCTGTTTAATTTTCTTTTTTCCAAAACCGTTAAAAAGTGTCTGTGTGGCGTTTACATGTTCTTCTCGTGCTTGCTTAGGTTTTCTCCGGGTACTCCAGTTTCCTCCCACAGACCAAAAACATGCATGTTACGCTGCCTTAAGGCCTCCCTTGCAAAAAAGATCTGTGATCTCAATGGGATTTGCCTGGTTAAATAAAGGTTAATAAATAAATAATAATATAAATATATGGTACGTCTTCCTGCATCGTTATGAGATGAGACTTTGCTTAATTTTAATGATGTTGTGGTAACATCTTTCATGCTGGAGTTAAATAACATGTTGTGAGCTGTTTGTCAATCTCTTATGTCTCTAAACCAAACCTGTCATCTAAGTAGCTGATTGGTTTCATCAGGTTTTTATATGTATTTATATATATATA